AGATGTTCGCCCCCATCCCAATAGACGTTAACAGGCTTTTCAAGTAGCTGTCCTGGCCGCGATTGCCAGGGCAAATCAATTATTAAACACGCTTGCTTTTAAACCATGTGTAATATTTACAAAGATACACTCACCAGAGGGCCCTTGTGTGCCCTCAGGGTCTGGGAGCACGCCTTGGGTGAGTTTGGGGGTTACTGGTTCCAGGTCCAGGGTGATAAACATATCCTGGCTGTTGGGGAAACTGGTTTCTCCGCTTCCTTGCTGAGAGCTCTCTTCATTGTCTTCATCATCATCTTCCTCGTATCCCGAACCCGCTTCCCTGTTGCGTGTTTCTCCATTGACGGAGTCAAAGCACACGGTTGGGATAGTGGTGGCTGCACCCCCTAGCATGGCATGCAGCTCCGCGTAGAAGCGGCATGTTTGTGGCTCTGCCCCGGACCTTCCATTTGCCTCTCTGGCTTTGTGGTAGGCTTGCCTTAGCTCCTTAATTTTCATGCGGCACTGCTGTGCGTCCCTGTTATGGCCTCTATCCTTCATGGGCTTTGAGACCTTTTCTAATATTTTGCTATTTTGTTTACTGCTACGGAGTTCAGCTAGCACTGATTTGTCTCCCCATATGGCGAGCAGATCCCGTACCTCCCGTTCTGTCCATGCTGGAGCTCTTTTGCGATCCTCGGACTCCATCATGGTTACCTGTGCTGATGAGCTCTGCGTGGTCACCTGTGCTCTCCACACTGGGCAAACAGGAAATGAAATTCAAAAGTTTGCCGGGCTTTTCCTGTCTACCTGGTCAGTGCATCTGAGTTGAGAGTGCTGTCCAGAGCGGTCACAATGAAGCACTGTGGGATAGCTCCCGGAGGCCAATAACGTCGAATTCCATCCACACTACCCCAAATCCGACCCTCAAAGGCCGATTTTAGCACTAATCCCCTCAGAGGTGGAGTAAAGAAACCAGTTTAAAGGGCCTTTTAAGTCGAAAAAAAGGGCTTCGTCGTGTGGACATGTCCAGGCTTAATTCGATTTAGCACTGCTAAAGTCAACCTAAACTCGTAGTGTAGACCAATCAGAAAATGTTATTTTCTCTTTCATTCACTGAACATAAGCTGGAACGCTATGTAGAAAGTATTTTAAATAACATGGTTGTGAAGCAAAGTTTTATAGTTATGAAAATTTTTAGATATCTCTTTATCTCGACATGTTCTATGTAAGGATTCCAAAGCTTTCAGGACTTTGTGGAGTATATACATAACAATTTTTATTTGAGAGTTTGCATATGTCCATTTTTTGCACAGACCAAACTTGTAGATTAACTGTCCTAGCAGTTACACCTTACCAAATAATGTAAACCATAAAAATTATGAATCCAATTCAGATATCTTTTTCTGATCTTAAAATGATACAAAGGAATAAATCCACTATTAAAGTAAATATTATTTCCCTATTTCAGCACTATAAATAATGGAAAATTGATCCTCCTTAAAAGTGATTAACACTAGAATGGAAAAGAATCATAGAAGTTTTATAGAGTAATATTCTAAAATTCACTATGTGCTTGGAAGAAAAAAATAATACACAGCTTTAATAAAAATCAAAATAGAGAAATTCTGTTTCTTGGAAAGCTATGCAATCCCTTTCCCCAAAATGTACAGAATTCCAATTTGGATTGCTTAAAATTGCAGAATCCAAATTTGAACAATAACAGATGGATTTTTAGAAAGTACATGTAAATAAGAGACCTCGAAGTATGTTTGAAAACTATAAATCTGTATTTAAAAATCATATAGTGAATAAAATAGACACACTTATATGATTTCTGCTTTTTCAATTATTTATACCATTGTTTTAGCTCTAATTCTGCTACTTTTTCTTGTGCTTCCTTTTGCTGTAGACTAGTTTTATGGAATGAGTAAGTGGTGTGTGTGTCAAGTATCAGAGGGGTAGCTGTGTTAGGCTGAATCTGTAAAAAGCAACAGAGGGTCCTGTGGCACCTTTAAGACTAATAGAAGTATTGGGAGCATAAGCTTTTCGTGGTGTGTGTGTGTGTGTGTGTGTGTGTGTGTGTGGTTTGCAGAATTATGCTTCTAATAAATAAAATGAAAAGCTTTCATGAGAATAGATCCCAGGCAGAAGCCATAAGAGTCCTCCAAGTTTCAATGGACTGTTGATGTCAGAGAGGAATGTGCCCAATGACTGTAGAGTGGAAAGCAGGTTCAGAGAAGCTGTCTTAAAGCTGTTTATACTGGCATGGCACTCAGACATTCCTCACTTTCATACCAATTCCCAGCCATCTTCCTGCCAAGCTTACCAGCTTTTTTTCAGACAGTCTCTATGGGTCCTCCAGGTCTCTCTTTCACATGCTCATACAGAAACATTCATACAAATAGATGCAGTCACAGTTCAAGTTCTTCTCTGTTGCACCCTTCAACTTGTAGTCAGATGCAGTGCTCTACCTCTTTGCAGCAAACCAGGTTCAGGAGTCGGGAATACAACAGGTTATTTTAAAAAGGTCAAATAAACAATTTGGCTTCTTCAACAGTAGTTTTCTTTCCTCACTCACTCTTCTTTTTTTCCTTTTCTTTTTTTATATTCCCTGTTTGTACAAATGCCAGACTAGCACTTGAACAGACTGACCTATCCTTACAACACCTAATAGATCAATGTAGTCGCAGTGTCAGTTATAAAGTATCTTGTTTCCTAATTACTTTTCTAACTCACTTTATGGGCTTTGGAACTGGTACCCAATAGTGCTGCATCCTTTTTGAGTCTGATAGAATTTGGACCTTGTACTCCTACTAAAAATGTCTGATGCTTTTAATGTTATTAATCTAAAGAGACAATTTAACATTCCCCAGCAGACTCACTCAGCCAGAGGAACCCAGGTTGCAAGTCCCTGGTGGCAGAGAGCCTACATGGAGAGACAGATGTCTCAGTGGCACAAGACTCTGTCAGCCTTTGCTTATTGAGTGGTGTGTCAAAGCTACCCACAGCAGCCCAGAAAGTGGGTGAGGCCAGCCATGAAGAGGGCCTGGTCATGGTGCCTTTCAGATGCATTGAATCTGTGTCTCTCCCAGGCTTCCCCTGTCAGAAATGTTCCTGTTGAATGGCATCTGGAAATGAAAGCTGCCTTCCTGTGAGGGAACTACAAGGGCAGGCAGTAGCAGTAACGCTGGAATATAGGTGTAATTTACTCCCAGTGCTTCTGAGAATGAATGAAATCCTCTGAGTGTTGGTTAGCAAGAGGGGATGGATTATTGGCCTAAGCATCAGGTTTGCAATATATATAGGCTCTTAGGATCCGCTGGTTTGAATCTTGGCAGAGGCAGCTCAACCCTTTGTCTTTGAGTTAGTTTAGTTGCATTCCATTGCAGTTTAATGTTTAGAAAACAAAGGTCTTGTGCTCTCTAGACAGATTTATATTTTCAAAATGTGAGAGGCTAGGTCTATGTGTAAAAATTTCCCAAGTGAAAATGGCCAATATCCGTATAAATGAAAATCTACATCTAGAGAACCCATGGCATATTTTGTATGACCAAAGATTTACCTCGGTATCATTGGCCACTATATCTACTCCTCCCTATTTTGCAGCTAGCTGCCAGCCAGCCCCCATTGCAGGGGTGGTTGCATTTTAGTAGCTAACCATTAGAACTGTGCAGAGAAAGGTAATTCTATTTTATAGAGGATTTTGGTTGTTTGAAATCTAGTTCCATTCCAATTGGGAATGAAAACCAGAAATTCTGAAATTCTCTGCAAAAGGGAATGGAGTTCCAGGGCAGTTCTTGGGGAGGTGGGGGTGGGGGAGGGGGACGAGGCGGGGGTTGCCAAGAAGCCAGGTGGCCTCACTGGCAGAAAGCTAGCCAAGGTACTGAACCTTGCCTGGGTTCTGTTGGAACTTCAGCAAAATTGGGCTGTCTTTGCAAAATGATCTGATTTTTGCCGAATTAGCAAATTTTATTGAAACAGTGCTCTGCTGGAAATTTTCTGATTACCTCCATTAAACATAGATATTGTTTATAAGATCATTTTGGGATTTTTCTGGATTGAAATGTGCTATATTCATACAAAGCATTATTTTGTTATTCAGCATTAATCTGTGGGAGGATTATCAGATAATGCTTAGAGAGAGTAATTTGAAATAATCACTTCAGTCACTTGCATGCTGTTTTAAAATGGTTTTCTAATATTTAATTAAAAATATTCAATTTTCCAGGTGACAATGGCCAATATTGGAATAAATGCAGATCGTTCAATGGAAACCTGTGAAACAATACTTGTTGTTCTCCGAATGGCAACGTGGAATCAAATATTAGATCCCTGGGTATACATTCTTCTAAGGAAAGCTGTCCTGAAAACCCTCTACAAGATTGCTAGGAGATGCTGTGGAATGCACATCATGAACTTGCATATGTGGGAACTTAGCTCCATCAAGAATTCTTTAAAGGTTGCAGCAATTTCTGAGTCACCAGTTAGTTCCAAACAAATAAATCAACAGCCACTCAGCTCGACAGGGCAATAAAATCAAACACGGCGTATGAAGAAATAATGGGAGTGTAATGATCATACCCTGGGAACACCTTCAAATTTGTTAGTCTTTGTGGTAATATGAGGGTAAGTGGTTTGGTATTTGTTTCAGATTGTGAGTGGTTTGGTCTTATTGTTTACCAGTTTGATATTGCTATTCCAAGATGTGCACTTGAGTAACTGTGATCACGTTCAAAACACTTTTGGGTGAAAGAAGTGTCTTTCAGAAATGGGGTTTAATCAGACAAGACAGATTTCAGAGTGGAGTTAGCGCCACATCACCGTGCCTGCAGCAGCAAAAACACAATCATCCGCTGACTACAGAGCACAATGGCAGAAACTGTTAAGCTGGGTGTCGTGAGTACAGATGGTCACCAATACTAGGCTCAAGGAATACGTGAGGAGAGGAAAGAACTTGTTGGTTGGTAATAGAGAAAGTAATCTTTTGTTATATAGTGGCACCTCGGTAGTTAAGTGTCTTCATAGCTTTTTAAGGTCAGAAGCAGGGCCGGCTCTAGGCACCAGCAAGCAGTTGCTTGGGGCGGCAAATTTGCAGGGGCACAGGAATCCAGCATGGGAGCTGAGAACCAACAGGGGGCCCTGGGAGCTGTAGTTCCGTGATTAGCTCCCTGCATATAGAGCCAGCCCTGGAGCAGGGAAAGAACTACATTTCCCAGCATTTCCACGGCCGCAATTAACAGGAAAGGGTGGGGGAAGGAGTGTGGAACTGAAACCTCATGCTGCAGCTTGCTGTGAATGGTAGGGACAAAGCCAGCTCTAGGTTTTTTTGCCGCCCCCATCCCAGCCCTAGGCTCTCCCCGCACCCCGTGTTGCCCCAGCCCTGGACTCTCCCCTGCCCACACCCCCACTGCCCCAGCTCTGGCCCCCACCTGCACCCCACTGCTACCCCAGCCCTGGGGTCTCCCCCCACCGGAATCTCCTGCCGCCCCAGCCCTGGGCTTCCCCCTGTCCCCCCCCGCACCTCCTGCTGCCCCAGCCCTGGGCTCTCCCCCGAAGGAAGAATTGGGTGGACTAAATGGACAGTGCACCTCTCTATCTGAAGCCTAGC